CGTCTGATTTTGTAGCGGTGAAACCTGATGGCGCTTAAATGACCAAAATTGTGTCGATAGTGCCGTAAAACATCTACCCAATCAATCAACTTCTGGTATGGAAATGAACCCTCTCACATATAGGCCTAGATCTAGATCTAGATCTAGATATCTACGTAAAGTAAAGCCGGGAGCTTGGATTTTCTGATCAGGGAAATAAAAGAAAATAGAAAAAAATGAAGGTCTCGATCTAGACCTACCCATCCAAAATTCATCCAGTTTCACATATCCCGCATCTCGTTCTCACCTCCTCCTCCCATCCCTACTGTAGGCTAACCCTCGCCCATCTTCTTGGCTTTGAGGTGCATGTTATTAGGAGGCACACTAGATCTAGCAATACAATGTGTTAGGAATCGAGGATGGGCCTTGTGCTTCGCGTGAGATGGAGAGAAAAGAGAAAAATTGTTCGCTTTTGAGGCCGCTTAATGCTTTTATTTGGTTATCGCGACCTCATTGAAAGCGACTTCGGTCTGTTTGTTGTTTGTTTTTGTAAAGTGTTTTACGGCGCTCGCAACTGCGTAAGGTCATATGAGCGCGCGGGGCACACCTAATATTTTCAGTTGGTAGGAAATTTTGAATTTTGCCCGGGTGGCGGCCGAAGCCTACTCTTATCGATTTTAGACCACCAAGGGATCTTTAACGTGCGCAACTTGCACACGAGCCCTCCGAGATTTTTTCGCCCTTGTCCGAGAAGGCTAGGTGTAGATCTTTCCTACCAGAAGATCAGGGGTGTGGCTGAAAGACAGCAGTAAGAAGAAACGAAGGAGTAGCAGTAGAAAGGCTGCAGAAAGAATCAGGAGCCCACAGGAAGGGGCAAAGGGGGTGAGGGAGTGGGGGCAGAAAGAGGAGACGAAAGCAGATGACAGAACATTGCTAGAGAGCAGGAAAGGAGGTGAAAGGAGACACATTTAGAGAAGAAAATGTTTCGGTCGCTACCCGGATTCGAACCCGGGACCTTTTGAATGAGAGGCCAACACTTTAACCTCTACGCCACGAGAGCCCCCATTCGGTCTGTTTGCAACCTCGTTGGAGCTGATGTACATTTACAAAAGAGATATAGAGGGGTAAATCGTGGATTAAAGATTGCCTCGTTGGAGCCGACTTCTCGTTGAATGCGACACTCACTGTATACGATTTGTAAAATCGCCGGCTTGGATCGCGGTGTTCGCGCGAAGTTGTCTGTCTCGACAGTAGTGATGGGCCGATACCACAATTTAGGTATCGATGTCGATACCTAGTACTTTTTCAAGGTATCGATACCGATACCTCGATACCTAATGCTATTAGTAATATACGCCGTGGGTAATAAGTAAAGACAAAAATACAAATATACTTTTCCAAGTATTTAGGTAATCGTGTCTAGACAAGTTGTGACTATTTAGCTGAGACTCAAACAAAAATTATTTGTAAAAGAGAGAGAGAGAGAAATAAATACCCAAGTATGAGGATAAAAACAAAAACTAAGTGAAGTATAGGAGGAAAGTCAACTTTGCAGAAAATGTTAGTATTGGAAAATAAAAACACAAGAGTTCTAAAAAGGCAATTCCATTTACCACATTTTTAGCAACTTTAAATTAAACCAAAGAGGATAAATCAGGGTTGTCAGTGAGGATTTTGCAAAATCACAATATAGATTTCATGAAAAACTTCTCTCTTTTTGTTTAAAAAATCAGTAGATTCATTTAAAACGCTTGCCCCCTATGAAAACTTATCAGTTTTGATAAACAAAAAATTCTCAAGGCCCAAGTCACTTGCTTTGGCAGCCCTGAATAAATAACACATAGGTATCGATGTTTAGAGCAGGTATCGGTACCGATACCGATACCAATGATAGTACATAACAAGATGGTTCACTCAGCCAAAAAAGTGTCCGCAGGAAGTATGCTCTTTGCTTCAGATGGCGCTGCAGTCTGTTTTGAAGCTCTCTTTCGTTTTTCCAGAAGAAGAATAGGAATAGCACCTTCGTGCGTGCGCAGATCGACTGCTGTTCATCAGCAGTTCGGGTACGTTCAGTGCGTAGTTTTAGGGTTTTTAAAAATTTTAATGACCTCTCGCCTTTCATTCTAAAGTCAAATTAAACGTAGAAAACCATCACCCTTTCCTCCGGAAAAGGTTTTTTGTCAGCGTAACCATTAAAAAAAAGCGTTCTTCCGAAATTTATCCCAAAACATGCTAGTTTCACTTTGATTTTTAAAAACTCAAGTAGGGTAACTCTGTTCGCAAAGAGTGCGCTTTTGTGAAGAGGGCGCCACCAAATTTTGAGGACACTTTTTAATTGGCTCAAAGA